GGTTGCCAGATCTGAAACATACCCAATCAATCCAGCTTCTTGTGTCAATATCTATTAAGGGAAAGTGTGGTTGAATTGCACCATCATCTGTCATAAATAGGTCAAACGCTGCTCAGATCTGATTCTGGTCCTATCAGATGAGGACAGATGCACAGAGGAGTCCTGCATGGCTAATTATGCTAGCATAGACCCACCGTATCTTAGCAACGGCTGCAGTCATGCTGAATGATGATAAAGCTGTTTTTGTCTTTCTGTGTGTGTTGCAGGGCAGTAAAGGAGATCGAGGAGAGATTGGACTGCCAGGACAGAGGGGACTGCAGGGGCCCCCGGGACCAATGGTTAGTACTGAGACACATGGCCTTTACCACTTAATAACACAACCTAAACCAATGATACAATCAATATTTTACAGATTTGCAAATCAGTTTTACACAAACTGTTATATTTACACTAACATTGTGCTAAATTAATCACTATGGTGGTAATTGATTCTTTTTATATGTTTGTAGGGACCTATGGGCCCCATGGGACCACGAGGACCAGTGGGAGAAAGAGTAAGTGATCTTAATAGACCCCATTCCTTAACTTTCTGCTTAAATTTATGTTGTGAAGAGGTTAAACCTGGTAATTGAATACGGAGTTCAGTCCCTCCGGTTTTCGTGATTCAGCAATCATGAAACACAACGCAAAGTCAATAAAATGTAACTGTTTGTGATTTGCTGCTAAAAAATTGCAAAAAATACAGTACTACTTAGTTATTGACATATTAGGGTACATTTACAAGACAACGATGTACTAAAAATGGAAAAGATTTTCCTTTGCGTTTTTAAAAAAAGTTTCACATACAGGCAGCAGTGTTATCAAAACGATCCCTGTTCTCACGGATCCACGAAAATGACTGAAATCCTGTATTATTCATGATAGGCCAGTAGTTGGCAATGTTACTGTAAAGAAACACTACACGCCTGTGCACATACCTACAGACTGAACACGTAATGCACATGTGCATGACATCACCGCTTTCACAAATTTGCATTTTTATAATTTACACAGAGACGATAACGGTATCGTTTTCAAAAACTTGCACTTTGAAACCTGTTTTCAAAATTCTGTATAAATGAACAGTCAAAATGGCTAAAAAAATTTTGTTTTTTGTTAAAAATGGTGTAAGTGTGTTAATAAAAAAACGTATGAATGAGACAATCGAGCGCGGGATGTGATTGATGTAAAAAAAAAAAAAAATTTGTGAAAATCAGATGTGTCAATATTTTAAGTATTTTCATTAGGTTTTAAAGTGACAGCAGCAAAAATAAGCAAAAATAAATATCTTGTTTGAAATTTGTATTCTAGAATTTAGTTTGAATCAAGCTTTCTGCATTTTGTTTGTCATGCATGACTACTGTACATCTGTCTAGTGTTATACATAATTAAAAAATAAATGTGGCATCCTGATTACATATATATAACAATTCTGAAACTTCTCAACACAAAATCAGTCATTTTGATCATTAAAAAACTGTGAAACTGTGTGAGTTAATGTCATTGGGCTAACATTTGGTTTTGTTGGGTCTGTAGGGTCTCCCTGGTTTCCCTGGACCTGCCGGACCCCCTGTGAGTCTTTTCTTCCTTTAGGAAAACAATCAGATCCTTCAATGCTAAATGTGTTCATGTTCTGTTGACATTGTGTTATCTTATCATTGTTTTCTCATCTTTTTGATTGTATTTACTTGCAAAAAAAAAGATCTTACAATGCCTTTTTTAAGACAAATGATTCATTTTGAAGATTTGACTTTTGTATTTTCTTTTTCTAGGGACCAGAAACTGTTGGGCCTCCAGTATGTGAAAAAACCTGGTCTTACTGTGATTTGTCTCACTCTCAGCTTTTAATTTTACATTTAGACTTTTTAACACTCTTTTTCACTCATGCAGGGACTCCCAGGGAAGCCTGGTACTCCAGGGGACGAGGGAAACATCGGACCAGAGGTCAGAATTCATTTCGAAGCACCGCATGATGCACTAATACACATAATGTATAAAAGCATCTCAACACAGCTAAGCACAGAGTATAAAAGCTGCACTGTGCCATGCTCAGAAGACGTACAGTGGGGAAAATATTTATTTGATCCCCTGCTGATTTTGTAAGTTTGCCCACTTACAAAGAAATGAAGGGTCTGTCATTTTTATGGTAGGTTTATTTTAATGGAAAGAGACAGAATACCAACCAAAAAATCCAGAAAAAACACATAATTAGCCTTGACAACCTTACTTAATGGAGTTCCACAACTATTGACTTCGTTCTCTCTCACCGGAATTGTGTGTGTAGATGATGGGACAACCCTCCGATGGGGTTGGGGGGGCGGCACATGCACAGGCCCGTTTAAAGTTTGCCAATGAACATCTAAATGATTCAGAGAAGGCTTGGGAGAAAGTGCTGTGGTGACACCAAAATTGAGCTCTTTGGCATTAACTCGACTCGCCGTGTTTGGAGGGAGAGAAATGCTGACTATGACCCCAAGAACACCATCCCTACAGTCAAGCACGGAGGTGGAAACATTATGCTTTGGGCTGTTTTTCTGCTAAGGGTACAGGAAGACTTCACCGCATTAAGGGGCAAATGGATGGGGCCATGTACTGTAAAATCTTGGATGAGAACCTTCTTCCCTCAGCCAGAACACTGAAGATGGGTCATGGATAAGTCTTCAAGGATTACAATGACCCAAAACATGCCGCCAAGGCAACAAAGGAGTGGCTCAAGAAGAAGCACATTAAAGGGTTAGTTCACCCCAAAATGAAAATTCTGTCATTAATTACTCACCCTCATGTTGTTCCAAACCCGTAAGACCTTCGTTCATCTTCGGAACACAATTTAAGATATTTTTGATGAAATGTGAGAGCTCTCAGACCCTGCATAGACAGCGACACAACTGTAATGTTCCCAGGTTTAGAAACGTAGTAAGGACATCAGTAAAACAGTCTATGTGACATCAGTGGCTCAATTAACGTAATTTGCGTAATCAGCGTTGTTTACGCTTAGGGGAAAGCGTGCAGATGTGTTGTGATACTCTAATATGGCGGAAGACGTAACTCGGGGGAGAATAATTGTTGAATAAATTGTTATTTTTGTTTTCTTTGCGCTCAAAAAGTATTCTCATAGCTTCGCAAAACTGAAGTTGAGCCACTGATGTCACATGAACTGTTTTACCATTACAGTTGCTTTGCTGCCTATGCAGGGTCTGAGAGCTCTCACATTTCATCAAAATATCTTAATTTGTGTTCCGAAGATGAACGAAGGTCTTACGGGTTTGGAAC